CTATGAGGAAAGGCAGAGATAATTGGCATTGTTCAGCCTGGAAAAGGGAAGGTTTTGGGGTGACCAAATTGCAGCCTTTCAATAGCTGATGGGAGCCTACCAGAAAGATTGAGAGAGACATTTTGCAAGGGCTTGTAGTGTCAGGACAAGGGGGAATAGCTTCAAACTGAAAGAGGGTAAGTTTAACTTATATATATGGAAAAGACCTTTAATAACTGGAAGAAAGACTCACTCCTTGAAATTATTTTTATAAGAAGTCTGTAAAAAAATTTCAAAACAACTGTTAAATTCAAATTTAATTTATGTTCTACACTAAACTTTATAGCTTACACACTTGTTCACAGCACTTGTAAATTTTCTTCAAAGGCGAGAGAGAGAGAGAGAGAGAGAAAGGGTACAAGTTCCAATTCTGGAAGACCATTTGAACAAGACATCATCTGGAAAACTGAAATATTGTGGGGAATAAAATTCAGTCATGCAGCCTGACAAAGACAGGAAGCACAATAGGAGGCAAGGGCACTAATGGTTACATTCTCTTCATATAGAATTAGCTGAAGGATGGAAGAGCCATTTGCTATATATTTTCTTTCATGTTACACTCTCTCCCACCTACCCCCAAAACTCAGGAGAGGTCTGCAGAGATGTCCCTTCACCACTGCACCCTAAAGAAGCTTCACAGAATGCTAAAAACTGCAGCAGCAGCTTGGGCCAAACCCCCTCTCGGCACCACAAGTCCCCTGCTGTCGGCCATACGGTTTGATCACATAATACCCAACCCCTTGGCTGGTAGGACAGAGTCAGTGGAGCAGAAGGTTGCAAAAGGAAGCTCAGCAGGAGACACAAATTGCTGTTAACAGCTTTAAATGGTTTAACGTGTACCTGGTGCCAGAAATCAGGCACCAACTGAAGATGCAGCCATCAGCTATCAGGGCAGCAGAAACTATGGACTTGGAAAGGGAAAAGGTGAACATCACTCTTCTTCTAATTCTATCCAGGACAGAGTAAGCACGGCTCAAAAAATTACTTATGATTTGGACAATCGATACATTTCCATTTGCTAGGGTGTGGAAAGCCATGAGATAATGAATTCTGCATTACAGGCAAACCTTGCCCAATTAGCCCACAGTGTCTGGAACGCAGTACATGACCCAAGTCAGGAAACCCTGCAAAACCCAATGAAAGACCAATAAACCAGTGAGAGCTGGGTTT